GTGTGTGTGTGAGAGAGAGAGAGAGAGAGAGAGAGACAGGGTCACATCACAGTGGAGTCAGCTGTCTTAACCGTGGCTTGTGTCCTGCAAACACATACCAGCTTCATCACTGTGTCTGTCACGTGACTCTATCCCCCTTTTGGGCTTGAACTGATGGTAAAACTAATGACATTATTTACTGTCTTTACATTTATTTTGAAAGATGAAGCTCGCGATTATGGTAAGGGGTGTTACATTTCCGACGAGTGCTTGCGGTGTTCGGCCAATTACAATTGAACATTAAAGCATGTCAACATATTCTGTTACACCAAATACACAAAATAATGATCTTTTAAAAAGCATCATATGACCCCTTTAAATAATAATAATAAATATTACTATCATTTTAAAATAATTTTTCTCTAAATGTGCGGCTAAATGTGCGACCCTAAGTCATGGAAGCAGTTATACATCAAATAATAATCAAATAAAAACATGCAAATAAACATCGCTATTAGTGGGTGCAATTAATTTTTAATAAACCCCCCCCCTCCAAAATCCATATATTTAGATCTTAAAAAGCAGGTCTCACCAGAGTCCGAGCTGTACATGTAGACGAACCTAGACCACTTGTAGTGCTCGATTACGGCCACCAGGGCGTCCTGCAGTTCGGGTCTCAGCTGGATGACAAACTGGTTGGAGTTTTCCATGGGGAAGCTGGGCGTCACGAAGCAGACGTGTAGCGCACCGCAGAACGACATCAACATGTTGACAGTCTTCCTGTCGTACACGCCGATGATGGCGTACACTCCTTTGGAGAACTGCGAACAGACTGGAGCAGACAACAGAACACGATTTACAACACAGACATCATTCACGTCGCATTGTTAGCATCACACTGGCTTTATTATTCACGTCCGAGAAGCAATTAGTAAATGTTTCTATATGCATCACTGGACTGGAAATGGTGCGGATGAAGTTTCTGAAGGGCCAGATAATCAATGCGCACAAAGGGTCTCGCTGACATTTACCAAACAGCAGGGCGCTTTTCTATCTCTGCTGCCTTGAACGTTGAATATCTTTTCCTCTCCCTGTTGGTGGCAAAATGGCCTCAATCTGTTTTTGAACCAGGTTTCCCTGTGTATTTTAATGCTGTATCATACTCTGCTGTTGCTATCTTTGCCCTGGCCGAGGTTATTTTTCACTGTGGCTCCGGGCCTCACGTTTCAGTCCCGCAACTAAACAGATTGAAGTTGCAGTCTGTTCGCTGCCCAAGGCCCAAATCCCAGCAGGGGCCGCCTGAGGGACACAGGGGGAGCAGGAGCGATAGGCATGGCCATCACCCAAACTGCCTGCCCCACAATGCAACAGCCCATAAGCAGTGCAGGGTGCCAGCTCCTCTAGCATGTGTGTGTGTGTGTGTGTGTGTGTCTGTGACCACTGGCCTTCATCACATGCACTATGACTCATTTCAACATCCGGCTGAAACATAAACACTTCATCTGTCAGATATATAGATACTGTCTCAATCTGAAGTCACATACCATGAAATAAACAAGCAAATTAGGTCTTATAAAGAGAAGGTGATATTTAACACAGGCACACTAATTTAAACTGTTCTCTCTGCACTGTATATAAAAGTCACACACTTGGTGCTAAGCAATAATGAGTGTGACACGTCTATAACAGACGCTGCCATGAGCTCTGAGGTAATATTGGGGGTGTTCTTATCACACGGCTCTGCTTCCTCTGTGACTGATGACTTGCACATTAATTCTGTCTGGGCTGAGCTTTGTGGACCCGGAGAGACAGAGAGAGAGAGAGAGAGAGAGAACGTGAAAAGGGAAAGGAAGGTGGGGGACTGCATCCCTCTGTGTTAGCTATTACCGAAGACATATGGCACATTGAATCGAGATCCTCACCATACCATATGTGCTTGTCTTGAATGGTTTCACATACTTTAGTTTTTTTGTCAATTCATACATTGTTAATAACCTGCGCTCATTCATCTACAACATATTGCTGAACTGGGTTCCTGGCAACAGGCATCAGCAGAACATATTCATGAACTTTATTTGATATCGTTTGGCATATGACTTCATTGGAAATGACTTAACATTAATTGCAGCGATATATTGGCTGACTGAACAGAGTTTTAGTGCCTTGCTCATGGGGTTTTAAACTTGCAATGCTATCTGAGATAGTCACACTGATGTACTTGAGAGTGATGTGAGTGTGAGTCACACTCCTTTACTGATTCTTTCCCTCTTCTTCTACACATCATTTCCTGTTCTTTTTCTATTTTCCTTTCAATAAAAAGTGAAAAAAAGGCTAAAAAGTCGTACGATTTTGTAATGTTTTTGAAAGAAGTCTCTTATGCTCATCAAGGCTACATTTATATGATCAAAAATACAGTGAAAATAGTAATATTATGATATATTATTACAGTTTAAAATAGCTGTTTTCTAGTTAAATTTATTTTCAAGTGCAATTTATTCATGTAATGGAAAAGCTGAATTTTCAGCATTCATTAATCCAGTCTTCAGTGTCACATGATCCTTCAGAAATCATTCTAATATGCTGATTTGGTTTCTTTTTATTATCAATGTTGAAAATAGTTATGCTGCTTATTATTTCTGTGGAAAAATTTAAACATTTTGATGAATTGTGATAAATCGCGATTATGAATGATTTATAAGCTGCATTTAAATGAAAAATAATATTTTTTTAAAATAACGTAACAGTCACTTTTGATCAATTGCATCCTTGCTCAAAATTATTAATAAAATTAATTTGAAAAAAAGATAAAAAATGACTGCTAACTTTTGAACGGTAGTGTAAACAAATGAAATCTGTGTCAATTTCCTTAATGGGCCATTTTTGGCCATGTGAACTGTTGGAAAATAAACTCTCTTAAAACACTTTTCAGACTCTTACTAGTTTAGGTAATTTGTCAGTTTGTTTATTTAATCTCAAGCTCTTCACTAACTTTAGATACAACTTTATTAGAGGAAAAACTATTAAGGACAACTGTAATATGTCATTTCAAATGTAGTAAAATAAATGTCCTGGTAAAAGCTTTCCAAATTAGATTAGTAACATAAACACATTTGGTTTTTAATCAGTAACACATTTACAAAAATTTCAATGGAATCCATTTGCCACACGGCCGCTGCCACTTCCCACGTGTGTGATAATGTGGAAGCAGATTGGAAGTGTGCGGCTCTCTCTCACTCACATCTGCTTCCCTGTTCTGAAAAGTTCCTCCTGACAGGAAGCACATGGCCGTGCCATTCGACCCTCTAATGACAGGAACACACTGGCCGCCTGCAGTGGTTTGTGTTAGCCTGAGTAGAGGCGTAAAACACGATGTGAGCACCTCTGGCCAGCCTGTGCTCTCTCTGGCCCTGCTAAAGATCCTGGCAGCATCTGCCTGTCCTGGCACCATCTCACAAACAGATCTCCACAGGTCTGTTCGGCCCTACCAGCCCCTCGGCGGGGATGACTGATGATTGTATTGAACGTTCAGCTTGTCTGTGGTCATGGGACTCGTAGAGCACAAACTAAGCTGATGCAATCAGACTAGAAGCTACACTATAAAAATATATTTACAGTAAAAAAAAAATCACATTAAAAAATACAATGTCAATGTTTCAGGTATTACGGGATGGCGTATTGATGCCTCTATATTTAACAACTTATTTTACAGCATATATTTAATTAAGTTATATAATGTTAATACACCAATCTACTTGAACTAACAAAATCAACTTTCTACATTAGAATGTACTGATAACCACCAAGATAATACAGGTGGCACAAAAGAAAACCACAAGATAAATCAGAGTATATTGTAAGTTGTCTCCATTCATAAAACAAGGCCAAATAATAATATATACAGTAGACAGTGAACAGGGTCATACACAAAATACCATGAAGGTAACTCACATGACACTAAAATAATGCAGTAAACAAAATAAATAACAGAATAACAAAAAATTTTTTTTCCTTTGTACAGTACTAAAAAACAAAAAATGAGAAGAAATGCAATGTATATATGGGATGTGTCACGCAGGGATTTCTGAGAATATCCTTTCACTGTTTTTCATCGTAAATCATATTGTAATTCATAGCTTTTACTTGCATAAACTAAAAACCTGTTTGACAATGCACTTTCAGCTTCCTATGCCTTCCTAACTATTAACTAAAAAAAGAAATAATTTCTAAATAAAGAAGATTTATCATAATTTAAGTACATGTAATTTCAAACACCACTGTCAACAGTGTGTTTACACACACAGCTATTCTAAAAATACAGATGTTTTTTTTTTGCACATTTGAGCTAGTCTTCATCTGTCTGTCCAAGTATACAAGACAATACATTATTGAATATGAGAAAGATTAAATACACACTATCTGTCACTTCTGTCTTTTGAAGTACCAAGTGTAGACATACTAAATATAACAGTGAATGAATCCGAGCTACAGTCACATTGTTCAGGTCTGTAAGTCTGACTTCACAGAAAATGGACTGGAATGATTTCAATCGCACACAAGTGTTTACATGACATTTCCAAAAGAAAAATAGTCTAACTGAAACTTAACTTTTAAAATTAATATAAACAGTTTTTGTATGTATTGTAACCAAAAGAGCAGCAAGAACATCCTGCTAATGTTCTTCTTTTGTGTTCCACAGAAGAAATGAGAGATTTCTACTTATAAAATCAATTGACAAACATGAAGAAACAGTATATTCGTTGTAGCTGGGCTGCTGAACTGGCTTTACAGCGTTTCTGTTTTTGCTCATGCTAAATTACATCAGTTCCACCTAATATGTGTGAGGCCAGTCTATTTAAGCGACAGCGTGTCTGAGAGGTTCTTGCCAGGCAGCACTATGGAGTAAACTGCTTTAAACTGCAGTCTGAGAGCAGTCGCAGGTAGACTCCCTCAGGAGAACTGTGGAGACTAAATAGCCATTTCCTTCTCAATCTGTTTCTCTCACTCACTATTTCTCCTTTCTCCTCCCCTCCAATCATGAGCAGAAAACCTGTGGATTATTTGAAGCCTGTGTGCCCTTTCATGTGTTTGTTATTTGGTCTATGTTGATGCCCGATAACATGTTGGTGTATGGATTATTTGAATAACTGTGCAGTGGACTGAATTTTAAAGGACACCAAGCTCCACCTCTTCCATCCACATCCACTGCTTTAATGAGGAGCTCTGCTCGCTCTTTTGGCCTCCAGTCCTCTGTATAAACACTCTCACACACATCATATCCTTCGGCACACTCTAACATACACACACAAGCTACATGCCTCACAGTTTAAATATAAAACACACACACACACACACACATACACACACACACACACACACACACACTCAAAATAATTCAGCAATCTCACTCTTACTACACACAAGCATCTGCAAATATCACCAGAGTAATGACACACAGACAAGCTTAATAAGCCCCTTTTCCCCCCCCCTCTCTCTCTCTCTCGCTCACAGACTGTGGAGACTAAATAGCCATTTCCTTCTCAATCTGTTTCTCTCACTCACTATTTCTCCTTTCTCCTCCCCTCCAATCATGAGCAGAAAACCTGTGGATTATTTGAAGCCTGTGTGCCCTTTCATGTGTTTGTTATTTGGTCTATGTTGATGCCCGATAACATGTTGGTGTATGGATTATTTGAATAACTGTGCAGTGGACTGAATTTTAAAGGACACCAAGCTCCACCTCTTCCATCCACATCCACTGCTTTAATGAGGAGCTCTGCTCGCTCTTTTGGCCTCCAGTCCTCTGTATAAACACTCTCACACACATCATATCCT